GCTGGAACATGAAACCTAAAAATAAGATTCACCAAAATGTTGCACAGCCAAGCTAAAAGTTGCTTAGAAAGTAAGCCAAAGCATGTCAAAGCATATGTAGACTTATGGGCAGGAATCATCCTTTTGATTTATGTTTGTTCATTTATGCATCTATGTGTCTATATGTTCATTTCGTGTGTGTCTGTATTTGGGTGTACACATACACATATCATGGATCATTTGTCTAGGTCCGTTGACAACTGGTGGGACAACTTGTTCTCTCCTTTCACATGTGGGCTTTGAAAATTGAATAGAGTCAACAGGCTTCACAACACGGGTCTCTACATACTGAGCCACCTTGTCTGTTCAGGAATGAGCATTTCTTAAACAGCAATTTACATTCAGATTTCAAATGCATTTAAAATGTTTAAATGCACTCACATGTATATAAAATTGTAAATGATATCTCATAGAAATAAGAACACCAGGAAATCTCCAAGTTTATAAAATTTCTAATTTTGTTTTCTCTCTTTCTCTCTCTCTTGTTCCACGTAGTGTGTGTATGTGTATGTTTTTGTGTGTGTGTGTGTGTGTGTGTGTGTGTGTGTGTGTGTGTGTGTGTGTGTGTACTAACAATGTATGGGGTGGCACTCATCATTGCACGTACTCCTGTAGAGGAAAGCTAACTTCCACTATCTTTCTCTCTCTTTTCTACTTTATTTTTTAAACAAGGTTCCACACTAAATCTAGAGCTCACAGTTTATTCAAGACCAGCCTGTCTTAGAACCACAGGATCCCTGTCTCCACCCATTCTCCCTCACTACAGTGACAGGCACTATGCCAAACTTTTAGGTGGGTGCTGGGGATCTGAACTCATGCCCTTGCACTGCACAGTAGCACAGTTTCCCAGTGGATCCCTCTCTCTAATCCCTCTACTTTTCTTCTTTATCATGATTCACTCTTGTCTTAACTTAGGAGGTGTCAACTGCAAAGCCTAATAGTTAACCAAGTTGAAAACAAGAACTGTACCAGAACTGTACAACGGAAACCATAGCTAACCATTCCTAGGCAGTCTTCCAGGCCCCTGGTTGATTGTGGAGAGTTTGAGGAAGATGCTGTCAGGTTTTCTCTCTGGAGGAGACTTATTCTGGGTCCTGGGATGCTATCAAAATTGCCAGCAGAAGAGCACTCAGTGAACGGCCTCAACCTTTGTGCATTCCCTGCAGATCTGCTGTGATGCATTTCCATGTGAAGCTTTGTCCTGTTATTCTCTAAATTCTCGTTACTCCTGCAAAGATTGTAAAGAGTAAATTCTAAAGCTGCCACTTCCTCCTGAAGGTCTATTAAGTTACTTGCATTTTAACAATACTGCCATGAGACTAAATGAAATTTTCATGGAAATGGCAAGCTAACAGTGAAGGTGCTTCTGTGTGTTCTAACTGTATGCATTTGTGTGTATGAAATTTTTCCAAAGATAGTTCATGTGATTCTAAAGGTATTCCAAATACAAAACTAGATTTTTAAAGAAGGAGGGATGGGTATAGCTATCAATGATGTGCATCTTGACCAATAAGACTCCTTTTATCAAGACTAAATATGTTTATAATATTCTTCATGATGTTATTGGAATATGTAATAAAATATGTAAAGAATAACATAAGGTCCTGGATGTTTACTTTCTTGATTAGAGGGATTTATTACATGAAAATTTGTTATAACATCATGATGTCATGCTTAAACATATTCACTTGACAAGCTAAAATTAAACATCTAGGAATATGTGGATTTCACTATTATACCACTCTGTCCTTTGGACAAAATATGGCTTTTACCCTCTTAAACTCTTAGCAGATGCAATTATCTGTACCAGAATTGTTAAACACCAGGCCCCTTATTTTCATATGGAGTTGGGGCCTCATGAGTCCTTTCTTCTCTATGAGAAGATATAGACAATTAATCATTGCACAAAGAGAAAGAATCTCTTTTGTGGTTGCTGTAGCTCCCTGTAAGTTCCCCATATTATTGTAAGAGTTCACCCCAGCTCCTGTAAGTTACCCCAGTTCCACTCACTGCCCCACAAAGCTGGGATGAGTAGAATGGTCATCTGTGCGTCATCACTACAGTCCTCATGCCTTCCAAGAAGAGCTCATACAGTATTTGTAAACTGGTAGTTGATTTTACAAAAATCACCTTTTGAGAACATTTGAAAAGGTTTGCTTTCCCTTATGTGCACCTCATGTATTAGCTGAGTATAATTAAACATTTGGCTACAACACCTCAGTCAAAGAAACTTCTCTTTACAGGATATGGAGACCATCATAGAAAACCAACTGGACACAAGAGAGGTATCAATAGGTTGTGGGGAGCCCAGCCCCAATGGACACATCTATGTTACAGCTCCTGCATGTATGTCTTAGGGAACAGCTTGGAAGAGACAGAATCAGTTTTAAGAACCAGAATACCAGAGGTTCTGCTGTCAAAGTCTGTCCTAGAAATGTCTTGCATAAACCAGACTGGAATGGTGGCAGTATCACTGGACCTGTTTATGTGAATGGGAGAAAATTTCACAGAGTCCTACCTCTAGACAAAGAACTACAGACAACTAATGACTGGTTGTGGAAGGAGAATTAATCTCTCCCAAAGCATACCTGAAACCATATACAAACAATGAACAAAAACAGAATAAGAAAGTTTTATATATGTATATATATATATGTATATATATATTTATATATATACATATATATATATATGTGTGTGTGTGTGTGTGTGTGTGTGTGTGTGTGTGTGTGTGTGTGTGTATGTGTTCATTATCACTAAGCCAATGTGCCAATGTAGTGGAGATACTTAAATAAATACTGTACATAGAAGAAAGAGAAGGAGTCTCACACACACACACACACACACACACACACACACACACACACACACACCAATAATAACCATAGAAAAAAGATGCTATCCCTCCACTCTCTCATTGATTGGATTCCCAGAGCTCAGCCTGGCCTCTGGCATGGATCTCTGCATCTGCTTCCATCAGTCACTGGATAAAGGCTCTATGATGACAGTTAGGGTATTCACTAGACCGGTCACTAGAGTAGTCCAGTCCAGTCATCCTCTCAGTCATTGCCAGTAGTCCAAGGTGGGGTCATCCTTGTGGATTACTGAGAGCTTCCCTGGCACCCTGCCATTTCCTATTCCCATGATGTCTTCATTTATCATGGTATCTCTTTCCTTGCTCTCCCACTTTGTCCCTGTTTCAGCTCGACCCTCCCATTTCCTTATGTTCTCATCCCTCATTCTTTGCCTTCCTTTACACCCCGCCCTGACTCCCAGTTTGCTCATGTAGATCTCATCTATTTCTGAGAGCCAGGAATCCAATCAATGAGAGAGAGGAGGGATTCTGTGGGCAGGGACGTTGAGGTCATGATGGGAAACATGTAGAAATAACCAGCCACACTAGTGGAAACCCATGAACTGTGGACTAATAGCTATTGAAACCCATAGTACTAGACTAGTCCCTCTGGATATGTTAGACAGTTATTTAGATCAAACTGTTTAGGGGACACCTAGGCAGAGAGATTGGGATCCGTCCCTGGTGCATTGGCAGGCTTTTTTGGATCCCAGTGCCTACAAGGTGACACCTTGCACAGCCCTGGTGCAGTGGGGAGGAGCTTGGACCTACCTCAGCTGAGTGTGCCAGGCTCTGCTGACTCCCTATGGGAGATCTTGATTTGGACAATGTGGGGATGGGAGGTGGCTTTGAAGGGAAGGCTGGTGGGTGGGAAGAGGGAAAAGGTGGGATGTGTGGTTAGTATGTAAAGTGAATAGATATTTTCTAAATAAAAAAAAATAGAAAGAAAAAGAGGCTATCAACTTTAGAGTGCTGGAGGAATCAGGGGGATGGTTTTAGGTGGAGTAGCGGGATGGGGCCAGAGAGAGGAAAAGAAGGAACTAGAAGAAGCAGAGGCAAGAGTGGAATTGAGGCAAACACAGTGCTCATGTATTAAATTTTCAAGAAAAAAATGTTTTCTTAAAGAAGTAATATAGTTGGTGCATTTGCTTATAGGTAAGATCCACAATTAACATTTATAAAAATCTGGGATTATCTCCCAATTAAAGGAAATCTTAAAAAAGATTAAGGATGAAGAGAAGAAATAACAATTGGAATATATATGTATCTAACTTAGCATATAGGGATTCCTGTGACTGCACTAGCAGAAAATTGAGAATCAATTATAAGACACAGTTCTAATTTTTTTTTTTTTTTTTTTTTTTTTTTTGGTTTTTCGAGACAGGGTTTCTCTGTGTAGCTTTGCGCCTTTCCTGGGACTCACTTGGTAGCCCAGGCTGGCCTCGAACTCACAGAGATCCGCCTGGCTCTGCCTCCCGAGTGCTGGGATTAAAGGCGTGCGCCACCACCGCCCGGCCAGTTCTAATTTTGTAAGGAGAGAAAAAGAAAAACATGTGTCAGATCACATGGTGTCATTTGTGATTTGTTGCTACAGACTTGAATCTACGACTGAACATTGGTGATAAAGTTACTGGCATATAAACTAATGTGTAGAATAGATGTAGATAGCCAAGAGACCCAGAGGAATGAAAGTATTGAAAGGATGCTCCCTTTAACACATAATCTGCCTGTGTAGTTCAATATGGGCTTTAACTACTAAATTAACTGCTGTAACTCCTCTAATTTCAAAAAGTGAAAGACGCTTCCTGATTTTCCTCACAAACCTCACCATGGAGTCTGTCTCTGTTGCTGGAACGTGAACTTTTCCTCAAAGCTCCCACTATGCTTTTACCCCTCTATCTGTCTGCTGGTGGCATTAAAACTCTTCCAACAAACTCCTTTCTTCCTAATCAAAAGGAAACAAACATGTAAAGATTCTTTTTCCTAAGAGTGTGAGCCCTCCTGTATTTCCTATGTCAACAACAGCATTTGAATTATTACGCCCAAATTTGTAGATCTGATTTCAGTAAAATTACAATTTAGAATTCTGTGAACATTTCAAATAGCTTCAAGACCTTCTTTCCAGAATAATTGGTGTTGAAGATTTACTTGAGTTTAATGTTCCTTCATCTTTCACTTCTAAGCATTTATTAGGAGTGAGGTCATTCATTTCATTAGGTGTCTGGATATATTTTAAAACAAGAAATTTAAAAATTGTTACATAGTTAACAAAATATAATTTATAACCCTAATCAAGTGTATAGAAGTTTTTACCTTCAAGTTTGGATATTTCTTTACAGATTCTGAAAAGACAAACAATCATTTATACAAAATGAGCATCATCAACAAGAGTTAATATGGAAGTAAATTATAGCAGTTACCTTTATCTGAGTTAATCATAATTTTAGAAATTTTAGTTTTTCTGGCTGTTTTGGATTTTTGTTTTTGTTGTTGATTGAGGAACAATGTAAGAAAATATACTGAATACAAATTAAAATACAGATTTAATTAAATTTGAAGGTTTTTTTTATACATTGGCCTGAGAAAATAAATTAATCTCATATTAAACAAAACACATAATAGATTTTCAATATTAAAATAGGCTATGTATTTTCAGAGGACTATTGGATATTAATGAACCACACATTTTAAAGCAGTGCAATGTTAATGGAAGGATTTATAAGATACTCTACTTCCCATCCACGTGTGTGCTACTCTCATGGCTATTTCTCATAGTATTTCTCCCTTTAGTTTAGACATTTTAAGGAATCATGTTATATTTTTGTTTAGTAAACTGGTTGTAGCCTCTTCCACAAGATCCATGATTCCATTGCCAATAATGTTATATTTTTATCTTTAGCAACAAGCATGTATACACATATATACAACAACGATTTCTTAAAAAGAGGCCAGGAATTTGAAAGAGAACAATGAGGTGAACATGAGAGGGTTTGGAAGTAAGAAAGGGAATGGGGTAATGATCAAATTATGTTATAATTTCAAAAAATAAAAATAATTAAAAATAAAAATGTTAAATGAATTATATGTTGAACAAAGTCATAATAAATCTTCAGTAGTGAAATATGATTATCAAAAATGAACTGAATTTTTATATGCATATATTAGGAACATTGTGCCTGTTACAATGTTTGGCTCACAAGCACAGGGCAATGGGTTTGGTTCCCCAGCTAAAAAGGAAAAGGAAAAATAAAATAATGTACTCTTTTTTTTCTCCAAGAGTATATTATTTGTATATATCATGTGAGTTCTCAAAGAATGTCTACTAAACCACTATGTCATCTAAAATGTATTATCTCAAAATTAATGTAAGGTCTTATGAGATATTTGATTACACTGTATAAAAATATGTCACTGTGATTGGTTTAATAAAAAGCTAAATGTCCAATTGCTAGACAGGAGGTATAGCTGGACTACTGGACAGAAAGAACTCTGTGAAGAAGAAAGGCAGAGTCCAGCTGGTCACAGGGGAAGCAAGACATGCAGGAGGTGAGGTAAAAGCTACGAATCACACGGCAACACATGGATGGATAGAAATGGGTTAATTTAAGTTGTAAGAGCTAGTGGGACAAGCCTAAGCTATAGGCTGAACTTTCATAATTAATAATAAGTCTCTGTGTCATTTTTTGTGATCTGGTATCCCAAAGAAAAACACATCCATCTACCTATGCCCAACATCCAGCCATGTATATCCACATAAGGCCTGAGAAAACTAAGAAAAGTTCTCACTAGGAGCCAGATGTGGCTTACTAGTCTTGCAGTCGCGTAGGCTGGCTGGTGCTCAGTGATATACAGATGTGCAGCTACCAGCTGCTGCCTGTGGACTGGAGCCAGCTGACCAACTTCCTTCATTTATTTTCTGTCCTATCTGTAGGTCCTATTCTTCATCCTCTTCCTCAGCACTATCCTTAGTTCTTAACACTCCTCAACTGTGAAGGACCTCACATTCCACTCATATGTCTAGTGCTACCCACCATTAAAATTGTTTTCTTCAAACTTCCTAAGTAAAATAATATGCAGCCATTTAATATATTTTATTATTTAATAAATATCACATGAGTAAATTTTAGTGGCAGGAAAATAATTTCTATTCTGTTGTTTACTTTACTTCAGTCTTTGCTATGTGTATTAGTGAATATGCTGTGTGAACATGGTGTACGTACGTGTCTATGCAGGTGCATACCTGTGTATGCTCAACAGAGGCAGAAGAGGACAACAGGTGACCTTGACTAACACATCCACCTTATCCCATGAGATAAGATATAGCACTGAGTTTGAAGCTAGGCAAGTAGTCAGAATTTTTCAGTTATTCTCTTAACACTGTCCATAAAAGTGCTGGGTTATAGGAGCACACTACCCATGCCCAACTTTTTATGTGAGTCTAGATATAACTCAAATCTTCATTTTTTCATAGCAAACTCTTTTCCTACCAAAGACTCCACTTCCCAGCCCTCTGTTTGGTTTTTGTTATTTTTTAATCCTAATTTATATTTAAAATATTACCTCCTTTTTCCCTGTCCTTTCTTTCCTCAAGCTGATCCCATGAACTCCAGCCTTTCTCTTTCTGGATTCCATGGCCTATTTTAATTGTTATTGTCACACAAAAACATGTGTGTGTGTGTGTGTGTGTGTGTGTGTGTGTGTGTGTGTATCTTTAATACATAAATAAAGCCTGATCAGTCTGTTTAGTGTTACTCTGTCCTGTTTCAATTATACATTTCTTCAAATTACTTTGTAGAATAAGATTTCTCATCTTTCCCCTGACCTACTCCTGAGTCTTTACCACTTTGGCGGGTAACCATGGATAAGCAAACAATCAGAGTAAAATTCACCAAATGATTCATGAAATAATATTTATCAATAGTAAAGTAAATCTACCTCTTCATGATACAGTTTGTCAGACATTAATGACCTTTTTTTGGAACAAGTTTTCCTTGCTTCTCAAGCCAGTTTTGTTACATGAAAACAACTTTTTCACATTCTTAACCCATGCATCCTTGCTTTCATACTCAGTACAATAAAACATTTGTCCTTTTTTCTTTATTTATTCCCTTTATCATCATTTTTATAGTTATTATTACTCATTCCCTGTACTCATTTATTACTTACTTCCCCAGAGACACTGCATATAAGAATGCTGTGAACTGGTAACCATAAGCAAACTCCGTTAGTAACAGTCTCAGTGTTCCCTGTTTTTAAGACTGGTAATAGGTGCCATCAGTGTCATTTCATTCCACTATTCACTGGTGTCCATTGAAAGGGATCTATTGACTACTAGATGCATCAGTACTCATGTTAGAAACAGATACTCTGTCAAGTAACACTTTCACAGAATATAGTTCCTACCTGTCACTGTTCCTTTTGCTTCGTTTTTGTCTCTTTGATCTCCAGCCCCACCTAAGTTACTAGGACATTTAGCAGGAGCATGCTGAGAAGAACTTGGCTAAAATTAATACCAAAAATAAGGCAATTAATGTTTTCTTACTCATTTTAGGATGTGAATTTCCTGATTTAAAAGAAACTATACATAAAACAAAAAAGAATGTGTCTAAAAACAATTATTTCAATACCCAACCTTATGCATGCTGTCTACACTAAGCTTATCTCTCACCACTGTGAAACAAAACTGGAAGTTTACAAGAGACATGTTCATAGATCACTTGTCACCGATTACTTGTATACATTTTATAAAAGAAGTTAACCTTGTATGCCTAACTATTACATTCCACATAGAAAATGAGTATCTATTTTTAAAATTACTTCTTCTTAAACATCCCAGTAAAAAACTATTTTTGGCCACAGAATTTTCTATCTCCTCTCCTCAGCAATCAAAACATAACAATGATTTCACAAAAAAATGTGCTTTCTCTCTCTGGAATATTTTCTAAATGCACATTTTTTATAAAAAAAAAAATCTCAATTTAAAAACAATAATTCTAGATTTTACCAGCGAACAGTTTCTAAACCTAGAAGACAGGAAAGGAGAGGAGAGGAAGAAGTGAGCATAGGTGGTGGAGAAATGGGTTTGCCTGCTGTAAAGTGAGGCAGAGCAGGCGCTAAGAAGTGAGGTGGTGGCTGTTCTTGATCCTGGGAAAAAGCTGAATTACACTGTTCATCAACAGAGCCAATAACAAACACAAGTGCTAGTGGGCCTGTGCCTTCTTCCTTTGAGAAAACTGACCACTGTCTGAGTCACTGTGACTCCCAGAGCCACATCCTAGCCCAGGAAAAAGAGTGCCTACAGAACAGAGACCCACAACTGACTGGACATGTCTGGCTGTGTTGACATTTCATCAGTAGCCTATCTGCCAATCTCTTGAGTTGGTTGTGGTGGCAGGTCAACCATGAGACTGGACGACTCTGTGTTTAATTACAGTTTCACTGTGCTGTGTATAACTTTGGCCAGAGAAATATTTCCTTTGGAAGCTTTGGGTTTAAGGAACACTTGAAGATACCCCACAGCCCTGCAGAGTGGGCAGGAATAAGACACCCAGAGACCCCTCCCAACAAATGGCCCAACCACAGCATGAGCCACTATAATTGTGCAAGTATGGAGTAGAGAGATGGGCGAGAGAGAAGCAGAGCAGCTTGAGCACTAATAAGAGAGGTGGATCTGGAGACTCAGTGATGGAGAAGAACAACCTGATGTGAGTTTCCTGCGAAGTCATCTGAGGCTATGGTAAATCCTGGCCTGCACTGGTGCTGGGGGGCATTTATGGGTCTGTAGCCATGCAGCAGCAGGGGGTCTGTGTTGATGTCCATGGCCTATGTTATCACCAAAGGCCATGTGGTTGTCCTTGGTCTGGACTGCTGCCTGGGACTACGTTTATAATGAAGGGCTGCACAGTGTTGGCCTCTCCCCTCACTGGATTCAACACTCAGGAGAGTGAGCCCTGCATCTCACTTAAGTAGCACAGTAGGGCTGGCCCTAGAGGAAGGGGTGTGGGTGAGCTGGCCCTGAGGGCATGAAAACTGGAGAGCTGGCCCTGCTTCTTATCTGCCATGCAGTGATGAGAGCAGAAGAGCTGGCTCCACCCTTTGCTCCCTGAGGCATTGAGCGAGCTACCCTAGGAGGTGCTGGAGATCTCATCCTGCTGGTGAGGATATGGGGAAGCTGGCAGCCTGACTAACTCAACTACCACCCAGGTCCAGATACAGGACTAAGAGTTGGCTCATCCCAACATCCACCCAATCTGTGATCTGCTGAAGCATGTGAAGGAATGAGTCCTGCAGATCCAAAGCTGCAGGATTTCCATGACACAGGCGGCAAAAGGATATCCAAGAGGAGTCCAGTGAGGGTCCAGTATTGATAGTGTAGCAGAAACCAGAGGCCTCAAACTAGACCAATGATTCATTGCAATGAACACTTGCAAATAAAGATGTATGGACTAATGGGACAAAAAAAAAGAAGACAGGAAAATATAAAGGAAGCCCAGGGAGGAGCTCTAGAGAGGGGGATAGTAGGATGCAGATGTCTGGAAGGGGAAAAATGGGACGAGCAGATTTTAACTACAATGGAATGAGAACAATCATACATAGAGAGGCAGGAAAGCTAAACAACACTAAGGATGATTGAAAATCCATACAGACTATACTATTTTATATTTACATGAAAATATATATGATATATGTATGTGTGCATATATAAATGATTTAAATGAAGCTGCAGGATTTCCATGACACAGGGCAACAAAGGATATCCAAGAGGAGTCCAGTGAGGGTCCACTTTGGAAGATGCTGCTTCCCCAAGAGCCATAGACGGTCTAACAAAATCTTCAGCTCCAGGCAAGGGAAATGTCTATTGAGTTGTTGCTCAGTGGTTTCTAAGAGACTCCCAAAGAAACATAGGCTCTTCAGGTTGAAGCTAAGATTCTCTTACTGGAGACATCACACACCTCAGACATGGGACTCAGAAATCCAGCAGGAAGTGGCCTAGAATACTTTTTCATGAGGGCTGACTTTCATAGCATCCCAAATGTGCTATGCAGGCTGCCAGGAGAGAAAAACAACCAATAGTTCTACCTATTTGCAGGGCCTGTGTACCACAAAAATGACTTGTTGAACAAGATATACCCAGGGGTGCAATAGTAGTATTTTCTTCTTAGTGGTATCCAATAGCTGTCTAGCTTGACTTAAGGCCTACCCAGTAGAAGACAACTCATACCTGGTACTGCAAATCTGAGCAGCGTCCTTGGCAATGGAGGTCACTGAATCTAGAGAAGAATCTACTACTGCCATTTCCCCCAATCATAATTTCTGTTTTTTAATGCCCACCAATGAGTACAGTTCACCCCCCTCACAAGATAAGTTTCCCTTATAGCATGTAGAGACTATCAGAGAGTCATAAAGTAAAAATGAAAATATTTGGTCACTGTTGGGTGCTTGACACTACCTACCTAGTACAGTTACAGTTTCAGTCCCTACTCCTAATGTTCAGGGAACATCGTGGAATAGGAGACAGAAAGTTTGAAGAGTCAGAGAGCCATTATCCCTACTGCAGACACTGTCTTCTAGACATGAAATGAAAGCTGCACCCAGGAAAATTTAAGAATATGTTTGCCTAACCAGGACTTGCATATTGAAAATACCAGTAAACACACCAAGGTGAATGGGAGAAATTTCATATGGTAGCATCCCTTGATGAAATGAAGAATCAGTTTTCTCTTGGGAAAAACTTCCTAACAGGTTGCTTGATCTCAAGTGGTCATGTATGTGTGTACAAAACTAAATGTACTCAGTAGATTATGTATACATACATATATGTGTATTTATATATTTACATATGTAAGAATAATAATTAAACAATAAGAGGTCATGAATTTGAATACAGATAGGGACATATACAGAAGAAGCTGAAGTGGAGAGAAGGCAGAGTGAAAATGATATAAATACAATATTCATATATGAAAACTTTAAAAATTAAATTAAAAATATTTAAATTTGCCTGGTAGTAGTTTTGCATGCCTTTCATCCCGACACTCCGGAGGCTGAGACAGGTGGATTGCTATGAATTCAAAGCCAGCCTGGTCTACAGAGCAAGTTCCAGGATAGCCAAAGTTACCAAGAGAAACCCTATCTCAAAAAAAAATAGTTTTAAGCTTGGTTTGGAGCATGCCAAATAAAGCAGACTACTTCATCTCTGGAACTGAAGGATGACTTTGGCAATGTAGAAAGTCTGCATCCTCAAATAAAAGTTTTCAGTTCTAGAAGAGAAAGTACATGTGACTGTATAGTTAAGTCTTTATAACCACCAATATTATTCAAGAAAAAATGTCGGTTTTCTATCAAACTATAAAGACCATAATAATTCTTTTTTCTAATTATGTCATATAAAATGGTACTTCATGATTGAAGAAAGATCCATTATGAAAATATCAAGCTATCATTTCCCTTCCAGATGGTATTTGAGCTAATCCTTTTCAAATATGGTTCAAATGTGTGTATTCTTGTATCCAGTATTCACATTAGGAAGGAGAAATTTGCCTAAAATCTTGATTCATGTTTTTTACAGCTTTCAAACTGCTAACAGATGACTGGGAATTAGAGTGTACTAGAAAGCAACTCTGACTGTTGGAGTTGGCCTTGCAGCTGTGTAGTAGAGCGCTTTCTATATGTACATTACAACCTGGGTTCAAGGTCTACACCCACAAAGAGACATGGAATAACAAAAATAAAGCCTACAGCTATCAAAAAAGAACATGAATGCTAAGGTGAATGACCTTGTTAAAAATGACATGAGATATCCTTCTTGCTGGAGATACATTTAAAAGCAGATACCAATCTTTCACAAATAATTCTATGTCCTCTGGTAGGAATCTCTTCTTCATTGTGATTCTGTGATATTATCATATTAGTATGGTTTATAAGTCACAGTAAGTGACTTTTATGCAAATATTATTTAACATATTTGAAATCTCCTCTTCTATGAAATTTCTATTCCTAATACAATTCTCTTAAACTATGTATTTCACCCCTTTCCTTATTACCTCAGAATACTAGATCTTTGTTGTTTATTAAATTAAAGATATATTCAATTAGTCACCAGCCACAGTCTTATGAAAACATCTCTTCTCACCAACTGTCTACTGTTGTCCACTAAATGACAATAGGTAGACCATCACTACAGAATTTCACGAGTAAACACCATAGAAACACATTTCTGTATAAACATATTAAGTTCAAAAAGCAAAATTTTACCTTGTCATCAAAATCACCATCATCCTCACTTGACTTAGGCAAGGTGGATCCAGAATTAGGATCGTTGTGGTGCCTACAAAGGAAATACACAATAAAAATGGATGAGTGCAACTTTAAAAAAGCATCAAAAGTCTCCATATTAAATTACATTTCATAGTCATATCTGATGTGAATAGAGTTTGACATCTCATATTATTTAAAACAACAACTTCACATTTCCAGTTTCCTCTTTGCCTCTTCTTCTTCCAATTTATGAAAGTAAATACATTCAGATTATTTATTCCATGTGAATAGTAACAACAGATATGTTGGCAGGGCCTTAGTTGAACTTAACTTCAAAAACTGCCTAAACTTAATGAAGGATTCAGAAACTATTCAGTGCCTCACAGAACTCATACTACTTTAACCTAGAAAAGCCTGCTTAAGAACCTAAGTTGTTCAACTGAAACATGGAAGTCATGTTGTTCTGCTATGAGAACTACTATGGAAAAGCAATCATTAATTTCCCTTTGCACTAAAATACTAAAAGGAATTCCCTGAAACTTCTTAAATATCTTAAAGATAATTTAAGAATTAGATAGATAGATAGATAGATAGATAGATAGATAGATAGATAGATAGACAGATGAGCCCAAACATCTATGTAGTCAATGGGAATGCCTTTACCAAAAAGAGTAGAACAGAGAACAATGTAAAATATTTTTATCTCAACATTATAAATTTGACTTTTGAAACTGATCTGATGTGTATCTAGGTTCCAGGGCTACATGAGCTTCTTTCAATCTATGCTAATGAACAAGAGAATACATGGGAAACGAAGTCAGACTGATTGTTAAATCATGGGAGCACTATTATGAATGACAGTTGTATAATTAGAAAATCATGAGTTATAATAGGCAAAACATCAAATATTTATTATAGTAGTTATAAGGAATAACTAATGTTAACCATAAAATATTGGGGCTACAACAGAGTAGAATACTGAACAAATTTTATTTATCCATACATTCCAAAATTTGGATAAAGTATCTTACTTGGCTAATGAATTATCTTCAGAATTCTTGTATTCTATTTAAGAAAAAGAAATATATTTTAAATATAACAATTAAAAATTCTAAAATATTAAAAACATGATGACTCTAAAGTTTTATTAGGAAGCATTCGTTTCAGGCCATCTCTAAAGAATAGCCTATGGTGGGTGCTAATCATAATGCTTATTGAGTAATGAATGCTCTAAAAACATAAATCTACTTCCTGTATCATATTTACTAGGCCCAAAGGAAGAAGAGTATTACTTAAATGCATTTGACACCTAAAAGTAAAATGCAATGTCCAATGATATTCATGGTAATTCCATTCTAGGACACTGACTTAAACAGAATCATAAGCTGACAGTGCCAAATAAACAGCAGAAAATATTGCAGTATGACACTGAGCTTCCTTAAGATAATATTTCTTATCACAAAATGAAATTTGGACCAAATACTTGATATAATTCTTGGTGAATAAAAAAAATTCTCAACATGTCAACTCTGAACTTTGCAAGCATGGCACACATGGAGCTAGACCAAAACCAAAGGGATTTGCAAAGACTTTACAGCTATAAATCAAGCTGGATACAAGTCATCCTCTTCCAGCAACATTGCTAAAAAAACTCTTCCAATGACAGCTATTTCCATGTTCTTAGATCTGGTGCAAATGGGATTCAGACTCATCTGATACAGTTCCTGCAATAGAAAGAACTATGCAAGATCAGACCTGAAGGATTTACCAGTCCTGAACTGTGCTAAATAAAGAGACATTTAAGCTTAAAAGAACATGGAGGAAGCAGCAAGCTTTTAGGGAAATGTATTTGATATGTACTTATAAAATGAATAACCTCCTGAGATTGTTAGACATGATACCTGAACTGAAGAAAACAGGCTGAACAGTGATGCTAGTTCAGAGTGTAACTTCTTTCAACCTTTTTCACTGAGTGGAAAACTGCCATAAAAATAAAGGTTTTTCCAATGTATTTACCATTATATCCTATGCTTATGATCAAAAACAATAGGTAGAAAGGAGCTGAAGGTGTAATGGCTACAGAGTTTACTTAAAAAGGTATGAGGTTCTGTGTTCAATCCTTAGTTACACAAAAATTTATTAATTTATTAAAGAAAGCTGCTGAGTGTGCACTGTATACCTTTAACCTCAACTGAGAAATTAAGACAGCTTAGATCAGGAGTTTAAAGCCAACCTCAACTACACAGTAAGACAGAAGCCACGACAGGATAACTGAAATAATGTCTCTCCATACACAAAAAAATGTATTCAGTGAGGTTACTATAACTACACATCAAAAAGACAACCTTAAATGGGAGATAACTTAAAATTAGGGCAACAAAGGTGAGTGCTGTTACCTAAATTAAAATATTGAAAATATAGAGAAGCAGCTTCAATTGTATATGCTTAGAAAACATGTAATAACAGTGTTGGTTTATATTGGTTGTGTGATAATCATGATTTTAATATTCACTTCTCATTGGCATAAGACTTACCTGGACTGCCATCTTTATTTTTAATATGTAACTTTACTTCATAGTCCATAAGAATCTTTCGACTACTGCCAAGTGAAAAAAAAAATCCCTATTTTAGTATTGATATAAAACACATCTTTATACTATGTTGAATTTTCCAGAATACTGCAGACAATATCAAAGGCATTACCATACTTAAATAAAGCCCAATATATTATTTCCTTTCACAGCTTATGGTCAGCTATTACATCTATCCAGAAAACATGAAATCCTTTTCTAATTTCAGTTCTGTTGCTATGATAAAATAGCCTGGCAAAAGAGAATTAGGGGAAGAAGGACTTACTTTGACTCACAATGGTATATCATCGTTGCAGGAAGGTCGACACAGCAGGAACTTGAAGTAGGTAGTTGCATCATATCCACAATCAAGAGCATAAAGATAGGAATGTAATGCATGTTCCTCACAAACACTATTCTTATACAATTCAGGAATCCTATTTTTGGTTGTTTTCTTTACTCTTTAGCTCTTAGCTTTTTAGGGGGCCTGCCACTGAGCTCCCAAATAAATCACACACAGAGGCTTCTTCTTTCTTATAAATGCCTAGCCTTAGCTTGACTTGTTTCTAGTCAGCCTTTCTTAACTTAAATTATCCCATTTACCTTTTGCCTCTGGCTTTTTCCCTTTCTGACTTCTGTTTATCTTACTTTCGATTTTATTCCATGGCTAACTATGTGGCTGAGTGGCTGGTCCCTAGCATCTTTCTCCTTCCTCTCTAATTCCTTTATCTTTTCTTTCCCAGATTTCTCCTGCCATTTGTTCTCTCTGCCTACCAGCCCCACCTATCCTTTCTCCTGACTAGCAATTGGACAATCAGCTCTTTATTAGACCATTAGGTGTTTTAGACATGCAAAGAAACACAGGTTCACAGAGTTAAACAAATGCAATATAAAAGAATGCACACAACTTTGCATCATTAAAACAAATGTTCCACAGCATAAACAAAGGTAACACACCTTAAATTAATATTCCACAACATACTCCTGAGTAGGAAATGATGCTACTCGTAGGCTGGGTCTTCCCACAACTATCAACAATCAAGAAAATTCCTCACTGACCATCTTACAGGTCAATCTGATCTAAATGATCACTTACTGACACTCCTTCTCCAGGAGACTTTAAGCTGAATGACTTGATAATTAGAATTTACCATCATAAGCCCTCTAAATTACATTGATAGCTGCTCTAATTTTATTTCTTATCATTTAGAAAAAATGAGCTATTTAACAACTTGAAAATACAAGCTTTTTTAAATCATGTGATTTCTTTCCACTAAATAAAATGATTGTTTGCTATTACCAAACTCTCAATGACCAGAAGTTTCAAACTAACACTTTACAAAATGTCACTTAGTTACTTGCAGTCTTCCTCTACCTAATCAAGCTCTGAACCTACAGATCCTTATTAGAATGATTGATTGTTCTGTTTGTGTCCAAATTCTTTCCAAGATAAAATCCTATCCTATACATGGATTCCAACGGAACATAATGTGAATGAGGTCTCTTAAATACAGACTAAGGCTGACAACTACTCAGAGAATGATGATATTGGTCTCATAGCACCTAGGAAAGGATGCGGCACAGAATGCAAAGGGGTCTGGTGGCAGAGTTCTAGCAGTAATGAGTAAAGACTTGTGATATTCCCTGCAACATGATTTGAACATTCTTGACAGCTTACAATGATCCCAAGTCATATTTTCTACCAAAAGAGATGAACAGACTCTTCACAGTTAATAAACAATAAAGGTCTAGGGTTAAAATGACATGTGGCTCCATGGAAGGTTCTGAATAAATGAGAATTGTCAAATAGGTAGCAATGAGTGTGGCACAAGCTGAAAAGCCTGGCAGCCAAAGGAAAGCACTGTCACTTTGGGACTAATAGCTCAATTAAAATATTGTAAATTTTCAATGTCAGTGAGAACTGCCATAAATCATTAGAGATATGATTCGACAAAGGCAGCCTGGTCATGGAGGTCAGTCTCTCCTGATCTCCAGGACAAGTGTTACTAGCAACACTGCAAGAACAGAATCATAAAAACAAAAGCAGGACTAGATGCCCTCTTCTTGCTCCACCTGTCTTGTGAAAGAGAGCATTCCTCCTGGGACTTAGGGAAGCCAGAAACCTGTATCTTTTTCAAGATTCAAAAAGTAATATATTGAAGAAATCCCACCAGAGGAAGAAACACTATTTTCTGCAACACTCTAACTGAAGACTAAAACAGCAAATTAGAATATCAAACATCTGAATATCTATATAGTACAGAGTTTATAGTTGGATGAAATGGAAAATGTTATGGTCCATAATTTCTAAGTTCCAGAAAGTTCTACACAGATATATAGCTCATTGACAGAATTGCCCAGCACAAACGAGGCACTTCGTTCAGTCTTCAGCAATACAAAAGCAAATCACGGGATAAAGAAACGCTTCTTCATTTCTACTTCTAATGGTATGCATTTTGCATACTGGATATTCACTGCTATTCCAAAACAACCTAGAGTCAACAATAATACATTATGAGAGGAAGATGAAGACTTTGGGATTAATTTGAAGTGCAAGTTAGTGTTTGCTACCATTACAATGCAAACACCTACCCTTTACTTGTGCCTTCAATAGCATAACGTAAGGCAGTCCATCCGAATACATCTTTAAAGAAAAAGTCAATGCCTTCATCCAGAAGTAGACTGACCATATCTGTTGAATCCCATCTTATGGCATATAAGAGTGTGTTTCTGAAATAACACAGAATAGCTTCATTATTAGATAACTTAATTAAAACTGTTAAAACTTGGGTATATTTTACAAATTTAATATCTTGCTTGTATGTTTGGAATTGTTCTTTTTATACACATGAATATCATTGGTTACAAAGATTCATCTTTATATATGGTGGGCAAAGATAAAATAAGAAAATGGATGGGAAGCCTCTGGCAGTGTTTTGCATGTTCTTAGTAGAATTCTTAGATTCTTCAACTTTGATAGAATATAAGTGTATAAAAGTTATTCTTCTTAAGTAGATAAGGACTTAAACGAAGATGTTTCCATTTTCTTTAGTTTATTGTAACATATAATTACTAATCAGATAATTAAAAGCTATTTTCATTATTTAAGCTATAACGACATTATAAAATACTCTGTTAATAATAAAATTCATTATAGTTACACTTAGTAATGATTATAACATGTGTTATGCACTGCCCTAAATGTTACATAAATGATCTCATGAAAACCTTTACAAAGTATTATCCTCCTTTTCATATTTGGTAATATGTAACACCAGCAGTTCAGACACGTAGCAACTAGGTAGCAGACATTTTAACCAAGTCATCTGTGAATCTGCATCTACCCACCTACTACTTAGCTTCACTAATCTTTCTCCTAATAAAGTGAATTTACTTTGCTTTCCCAACTCTATGTAAATATAATCACTTCAGCACCAGTTGGACAAAAGGGGGGTGGGATTGAGCACCATTCTGCAATAACAATTCTTAATCATCATAGGATATTCTAACCTCATTATTCCTCAAAAAAAGGGAATTGAAAGGTAAGAGTCATCTAATAGACTGTGGTTGTCAACTCTTTTTATGAATAATATGGCATTTTATAGGACAATCATATAAGAGCAAGGGAAAATAGTACAAAATGATTGAGTTTCGTTGTGAATCAAAGTTAATCAAAAAGGCTAAACTTCTTAAAAAATTACTAAAACCAAACTGAAAACCCATTAATCTACCATAAGATCAGTTGTCCAATCAAACAAAATATCAAATAAGAAGCATCAATCAATATTATAAGGGGATATGAAACTTAGAAATGACTTGTGTTACTCACCTCAACTTACTGCTTTGCTTACCCAACTAATTAGACTGATGACTAGTTGATACCTGATCACTGAATCCCTGTAAGTTAGTCTTCTTCCCATCAACCTGATATTTCTTGGCTGTGAGATTGTTATTTCAGTATGTTACACATTTTTTTTAAAAAAATTCAAACAACAGTACCTTTTCATCTTATCAAATACGTGTATGTTTGCCCCCTTCTTTACTAAAAATTTTGCCATCTCTATTTTGTTTTCCTTGAGAGCCAGTAAAAGTGGTGTAAAGCCATCCTGCAAAACAAAACAAAAGAATCTTCAATCCAAAATCACTGTACTCTTTAACTTAATGGAGCCTTAAACAGTCCTATGAGAATACAAAGCCTTGCTAGAGTGAATAAGCAGCTTCTTCCCTTGCAGGCCACTGCACGTTCCTTCTCCTTGAAATGCCCTACAACTGTATACATGTGACACATGAAACCTTCTCACTCACTCCCAAATATGACTTTGAGATTGTGTTTGTTCGGCCGGGCGGTGGTGGCGCATGCCTTTAATCCCAGCACTCGGGAAACAGAGCCAGGCGGATCTCTGTGAGTTCGAGGCCAGCCTGGTCTCCAAAGCGAGTTCCAGGAAAGGCGCAAAGCTACACAGAGAAACCCTGTCTCGAAAAACCAAAAAAAAAAAAAAAAAAAAAAAGAGATTGTGTTTGTTCTACAAACATTTCCTTCTACCTTAGCATTTAATATATGGAGTCATATAATTGCTCTCCTCTCCTCTTTAAGAGCAATTTGATAGGCAGGTTTCTGCATGAGTATCTTGAGGCTTAGCAGTGTGCTTAGTTCTTAAAGGAAACTATTGGTATCTATGAACCATACTGAGTACATAGCTCCTGAGTTTTTATCTTTCCAGTGAGTGTTTCCTCCAATGAGTTTGTATAAACCAATTTTTACTTGTGAAATCATCTAACATATTTTATAAAAATGATATTTACCCCAAAGGAAATATAACTCAACATAGACCCAGAAATTTTCAAACTTTTGTTAATTTACACTTCACTTGCATTCCGTTTTCCCCTAATGTTGATGAAATGAAGCATTAGTGTTAAAGCAAAATCGTTCAGTTGATTTTCAACACTCTCCTTAACTCACTGTTTTTGCAATGTTTACAACTGCTAGGATATGACACCCAGGCTTTATGAGCTTATCAAGCCACACGGTAACAGTTCAAATGTCAAGGTTGTGATTTGCTACTCTTTCAATATAGAAAAAAAAAACCTTGCAATTACTAGTCTGGGATCTGTTTACCTAAATACTAATAATACATAGAATTCTTAAAAGTCTAGCTTCTCATTATTTTCATGATATTTTAAAAGTAGTGAAATATTTTTGTCTTAAAGCAAGGGGGGTCATAAGCTAATCATCACCATTGTTACTGTTTTCTTCCCAAACATAAAAATAGTAAAAAAAAAAAAAAAAAAAGGGGGGGGGGGGTGGGAAGTAGGACTAAGATTATTGGAGTCAAACCTTGGCTCTTCTAAAGTTCCTTAGGATTTTGAGATCTAGCATCCACACATTCAATGTTTAACCAGGAACTCTTTCAGAATTTCAAGGAAATAATTTTTGAAAATACCTTTGTCTGCAACTAATTAGATTTAAAGATTCAAACTCTGCACAGAAAATTCTACTTGTAATACAAATGTCCAAACTTCTCCTGAGATCATTGGGACACACAATCCAGAACTAGGTGCTGCCTGTAATTTCAGTCTCATTTCCAACCCACATGTCTAATACCCTTCACCATTTGCTCTTATCACTGAAAAAAGAAAGGACTCAGTCACTGAAAACTTCTTAGTTTCCTTTGATGGGAACAGCCAGGGAACAAACATCTAGGATTGCATTTCAATTCAATATGGAAAAATGTCAGTTCCATCTCCTCCTCCTCCCAATCCAGGCATCCTAGATTTGAAAGCAGAGGTTAAGTTTTGACCTAAGTGGTGGTCATATCTGTAGTTGGAGTTTTCTCCAGTCCTGCTTGGGCCTGCAGTCGCTCAGACCCAAGTAAACACACAGAGACTTATATTACTTATAAAGTGTATGGCCGTGGTAGGTTTTTTGCTATCTAGTTCTTATATCTTAAATTAACCCATTTCTAAACATCTATACCTTGCCACATGGCTCATGGCTTACCAGTATCTTTACATGTTGCTTCTCATGGTGGCAGTGCCAGTGTCTCCCCACTCAGCCTTCCTGTTCCCAGAATTCTTCTCTCTCTTTGTCCTGCCTGTACTTCCTCCCTGGCTACTGGCCAACTAGCACTTTATTTATTAACCAATCAGAGCAACACATTCACAGCATACAGAACATTCCTCTGCACATTTCTTCAAAAAGTGGGAAGGGAATATGCCAGTAGATTCTGTGATCTTTCCTCTGTTTTTACATATATCCACCACCTACTCACTACCTACTCCTCAGATTGAACTACAGGCATGTTTGTTTGTAGCTCAGTAACTTCAGCAAATGAAGAGTGAATACTCCTCAAACAGAAAGCATCGAAGCAATACATGTAAACTCATACTAAAATAATTCTGTTAGTTTTGATATTGTTTTTGGTTACTGTTGGTGTTGGCCATGCTTTTTTGTGATAGGGGTCATGAGGTTGAACAGTTAAGAAGGAGTTTTGGTGGGCATATGGGAGAAGCTGGGTGATGGTAAAGAATGTGATCAAAATAAATGAAAATAACAATAATTCTTCATCTATTCCTTCAATTGCCTAAGTTCCAGGTGGGCCTTCATATTTCTGATCAGGTTCCAGTTCTGTATTCTTTGATTTAGTCTTCACACAGAGAAATATATCATTTGATTTTTTTTTTGTTATCAGCAGCATTAAGATTTAAAATTTGCCACAAATTCATTTGTTTCGCTTCAGTTTTAAAATAGTTTATTTAGTAAGGGAACTTTTGCTTTCCAATTCTGTTACTTTACACAAGTTAGAAACAATTTTTAGTGGAAAAAATCATAAAAAGAGAAGCTTTACCTTGAATAAATATAGCAGCCATAGTTTCTGCCTCAGCAGCAGCCTGCCTCTGCCACAAAAGGAGTTGAGCTATCACCTGTCTCCCGGTGCCTTTCCCCATCAGCTAAGTGACATGTGCACGCCTTAAAAGTGCCCGCCAGGTCCAGCTCGCTCTCTTTGCCTCTTCACTTTCCTTGTCTCTCATCTCTCTCGGTTCTTGCTCCTCTTCGTTTCTTCTTTCCTCTCTTGCCTTTTCTTTCTCCCTTGCTTTTCTTCTTCCTCTTTTCTGTCTGCCCCTTTCAAGTCCCCACGCTGACATGGCCTTTCACTCTTCCACTCTCTTCCTCCACCAATAAACCTTGCACTGAGTCTGTTGTGCATGGCTTGTTTGCTTAGTGGCATACCTTGGCAGGGCCCCCCAAAATGTACCCACTATTGCCTTCCTTTTTATTTACCCTTTCACACGGTGTTTCACAAATACTGTTTCTCTATGTAGGAAAGTTCTAGACTCTAACACTTCATTCAAAGCAAGTCACATTCCCTATTTGAAGTCATATTCTTAAACAATTAAGCTATTTCAAAGTATTTTCATTCAAGGAAGTTAATCCTATGTATACTGCTATTAACACACACACATGTATATCAGATTATTTGGGGACTACAGAGCCGTGAACTATACCTTGTTCTTTTGTTCCATGTCTGCATTGTATTTAAGCAAATATTCAGCCAGCTTCTGATTATCTTCAGACACAGCATAGTGAAGAGAAGTATTGCCATTTTTGTCGATACAATTTGGATTAGCACCGTGCTTCAACAATGTACACATGCATCCATATGACCAGTTTTGTACAGCCTAGGGATTATACCAAGAAACAGATTGCTTGTTCAATGAATTCAATATAAACATCACATAGAGTTCACCAAGTACTAACATGTTCATGGGATAAGTTTGGTTTATAATCATTTAAGTCTATGTTATGCTAGATTTGGATAGTTATATATACCTTCATCAGAGGTGTGATGGAATTCCTGTCAAAAGCATCATTGTCACAATTATTTCTCAGTAGAACATTTACTACTTCTTCCCAGTCATAGACACAAGCAAAATGCAGAGCAGTCCTATGGAAATGAGAAATTTTTAATGAAATTCTAGAACACTATGCTAAAATTTACAATTACTCATGTAATTATAAAATATTAAATGGCACATAATTCTTAAGCATTGAATGATATGTGTTCTTCCACCTTCTGAACAAATACTTAAGTCATTGTAAAAAATGGAAATACTTATTAACTTGTATTACTCACTATACTGGTGAAAAGACCTTTTCGATGGTGTCTTTTGTGTGGTGCTGTGAACTGAGCACATGGCCTCTTCCATGTGTAGAAATAAACCAGCCAGTGAGCAATACCCCCCAACCAGGAGCAGGTTTAGAGAAAAAGCATGATATTGAGGTTAAATCACCATAGGTTTAATTACAACTTAAACTTTGCTACAAACTACTTATGCTTTCTATGAATCAATTCTCTCATCAGTAAAGCTAAGATGAAAAATAGTAGTTATCTCACAGAATACCGTTGTGATTCATCAATGGGAATTATGCAAAATGTCTAGAATAGCTCCCTGCACTTGACAACTCAATTTAATATTATCACTGTCCCTTCTGCTCAGCAAACAAGAATTCAAGTACATAAAATTATATGAAAATAATTCTTCTGATATATTTAAGTATTGCTAATTTCAAGGACTCTAAATTGTATTTGCATTCTCTAAATTTGCTTAAGGGGGACAAAGCAGCAATATTTTAAGAATAGTACAATAGGAATGCTCCAAAATAGATGTTCATGTTATCAATGGTGAATAAATTACTTGGTAAATTCGTGATTTATCAGGATAAATTTGTAGGCAGGATTAGATAATCTGGCCTAGAGACCTCTAGGTGGAGTGCAAGTCTTGAGAAAGTACTGAGGATCCAGAGAAGACAAAACACAGAGAGGTCCTCCCCTCCTTCTGGCTCCCCTATGCTGGTCTTTGAATATAACAAGGGTCATATAACATCCTCCACGCAGGCCGCTCCCACTAGCTCATAAGCACTATTACCTTTCCTTAAAGTCTCTGTCATGCATGCTATGTTTCCCAAGTTTTATCATTCTCTGCAGTTTCTTGATAGCACCTTCACTTGCAGCCTGGTGGATCTTTTTGAGAGGTTTGTATCTGGGTTCCTTTGGGACAGAAATGCTTTTCATATCACGAAAAAAGTCCAACAAGGTTTGTCGTGGGACATCACAGAAACCCATAGGTATCTTTTCCTTAATTCCATGAACTAAGTTCTTCATGACTGAAGATAGTGGTCTGACCGCCTGGCCCTGACCCTTAGGATTTACCCAAGGACTTGTCCTTAGACCCACTAATTGCCCAACTCAGGATTAGCTAATGGAATATCAATATATGCCCACAAGGTCCCCCAAGGTCCCCCACCAAGGTTGTAGGGTGGGGGAAATAGTTTCCGACATCCTCAAATACAGTTGATCTACTCCAGGTTGCCAAGCAACACTGGTGACCATTGGTGTACTTGAGCATGCGCCTGAGCGGGCCTCCTGCACTGCTAACATCCCTAGAGTTTAAGGGTGTTCATTGTGAATGTACAAGCCATTTCTGGCCATCTCTCTGCAAGAAAACAAGTTTGTGATCCATTAACTATCCACATCACCCTCACTGTAGACAATGCTCCTCCTCAGCTTCCTTCTCTAAGTCCCTGTGCCTTTTGAACACCATTCTTCTCCCCCCCCCCAGGAACTGCCAGATTTTGAAGCAGCAGCCCCCTCCCTCCAACTCCTACATAAGCTCATCTCTTCAAGTGCACCCCTGGAAAGTCCATCCTAGTGCCAGCCTTTCTTTCTACCTTACTTCCTTCTCTCTGCACCCCTTTCACTCCAGGTTTCCCACAAGATTTCAGATTACACCTATCTCCTCTTCCTGCTGACCTTCACCCACACCATATAATCTCACCATTCACTCATTCACCACACACACAAAGTGAAAAGCAAGCAATCAAGACGTGATGGTGCACATTTTAATCCTAGTGCTCAGGAGGCTAATGCAGGAGAATATTCAGTTTGCTGCCAGCTTTGATTAAACTTAGCCCCAAATAAGAAAAAGTGCCAGAAACATCTGGAAGGCAGTGATGAATTGTTCAGTTGTGAAAACAATGGATAATTTGTTACTTTCATTTCCACTAGTGCTTTTGAAATAGTCTAAAATATGTATTTCATAATAGCTAGTAAGTATGTAACTATTGAATAACAAAAAAAGTGATACATAAATAATAACCAACCAATAAATATGTAATATTATATGGCTAATATCCAATAGATATGGTCATTTTATTATCAATTTGAAATAAATTATTCAAGTTTATCAAGCTGTTAGAGTAGGAATAATAAATCATGTCAAAGAAGAGGACGTCATTTAACATTTGTGTTTATAATGCAGTATTTAAGTTGTATATTCTCATGAGGAGTTTAGCAGACATTTTTCCTACTCAAGAGTTGTTTACTTAGTCTCTTCATTGCCACCTTCATGTCTTTGTTCCTCAGTGTGTAAATGGCAGGGTTCAGGATGGGTTTAATCATGAAGTCCAGAATGGCAAGAAACTTATCCACTGGGACATTAGGAAATGGCCATATGTACACAAAGATGCATGGTCCAAAGAACAAAACCACCACAGAGATGTGAGCAGAAAGTGTAGAGAGGGCCTTGGACAAACTGCCCAAGGACTGTTTCCATACAGTGAATATTATGAAGATATAGGAGACAATCAATGAGAAAAAGGAAGTGACAGAAATTAATCTGCTGTCAACAGTAACCAAGAACTCCATTCTGTAGGTGTCTATGCAGGCAAGTTGGATGAACCTAGGAAAGTCACAGTAAAAACTATCTATCTCATGAGAACCACAAAAAGGCAAATGGACAACAAAAGCTAACTGAGCCACTGAGTGAATGAGACCAATAATCCACGTACCAATTAGAAGCAAAAGGCACATCCGTGGGCTCATGATGGTCAGGTAGTGGAGGGGCTTGCATATGGTCACATATCTGTCCCAGGCCATGGCTACCAGCAACACCATCTCAGATTCCCCCCAGGACATGAAGGACAAACACCTGGAACATACAGCCCTGGAATGAAATGGTATTATGCCTGGAGTATAGATCATAAATTAACTTAGGAATAGTTGATGTAGAAAAACGTAAGTCAACAAATGAAAGATTAGCTAAAAGGAAGTACATGGGTGAATGTAAATGAGGGTCAAAGACAACTGTAAGCACAACTGAGAAATTTCCCAGAAAAATTGTTGCATATGATATTGTAGATAATGCAAAAAGGAAACATTATGTTGGTCTGTAGATTGATAATCCAGGAATACAAACTCAGATAGTTCAGAGTAACTTGCTTCATTCATTGGATCTTTCTTGAGTTATCTACAATACCCAAAACAAAGCATGCAAAGCAGTTACCAGAAATAATAAAATAATATCCTAGCAGTGGGATGTTATTTGTGAACTCATTAAAAAAAATGATTTTATATTAAAAACTATAATAAATTAATAACTAAATTAAATAAAGGTTAATTTATTTAAAATAAATAAATAACTATTAAAAGAAACATACTTAAATTCTTTCAAAATATGTATTAATAAAAATAATTCTTCATGTTCTTTCATATTTTGAAGAATTAATGTCTCTATTATTCTAATATCCATTATGAGTATATACTATATCCCAAATACTATGTTATGTCCTTTGGTAAGACAGTGGTCCTGTTTCTGGCAGAATTACAGGCACATTGAATGCTTTAAGCATGAACAACTTTAAACACAAACAAAACCCTGATGACTAAGATGAAGAAAAAGCATAGGAGAAGAGTTGGTTTATATCAGTGTCATCTGACTGAAGATGAATTAGAGTGTAAAGGGATTGAAATGTCCTCTGCAATGACCTTGAGACAAGGGAAGTGCATCAGAGTAAAGCAAGCACCTGTGTTAAAGAACTTTGCTGTTTTATCCTAAGAACAATCTTAGTCACCATACAAATGGTAAATCTACTTTTGTACTATTTGAGGAAACATAAACAGAAGAGTAAATGTTACTAATTTTTATTTCACATCAAATTCTTCATAATTTGATGAAGTTCTGTGAATAAGTCCATGAGGTAAAAAGATAGTTTTATTCATTGACAATTGAAATGTAATTTGATGTAATTTCTTTAACAGACACCTTCAAAACAATATTAAAACTCCAACTACAGGGAAATGAAAACCAATATTATATAAAGAGGCGAATAATGTACTTTTAATAAAAATTGTCATGAGACAAAATTCTTGGAAGCTTGTAAGAGCTGAAATTCTAAGAAAAACAGAGGATGATTCTGTCATGCTTACCTGTTAGTTGCTTATCTCTGTGCTACTGTAGATGTGTTTAATAGTTTAAACCATACAAAACTGATGTGTCTGCAGCTTCTAAAATATAAGTAAACTAATATATTAATTTATTTTTTCTGTCTTAACTCGTTAAGGACTTAATTTTTAGGCAATCAAATAAAAAAAATTGTGTTTAGGTTACATATAACTGACTGCCATGTTTTCCTCCACTTGTAATTCCACTACCAAGTTTCCTCTAGACTTGGCACTGACAACAACTCATTTTCATGCCACTTCCTCTCCTATGTGTCATTTTTTTAAACTAAACTGGTATTCACATGAAAAAAAATCCTCATACTGAATACTCACAAAGTAGAATATGCTGATGCAAACACTATTGACTCACTGGAGTAAAAAAAAAAATTCTTTGCAGCAAAACTATACAGGAAGAGGCATCATGATGGCCAGAATGTAGGAGTAGATATCAAAGCAAAACAAAGCAGTTCAGAGGTTAAAAAAAGACCACTTAGTGATGATTAAACAGATAGTCACTGGGGAACATTAGAGCAGAAGTCAGTGATCAGTTTGTTATTAACTCAGAAGATAAAAATAGTATTTTTTCCACAAAGTTATAACAAATATTTGAGAGGATATATAGGTTAACCCTGATCTAAATAATGCACAATATAAACTTATATATACTTTTGTCAAAACATTCATGGTATATACATTTTTTTATGTAGCAGTTAAATCTTTATATTTCAAATTCACACACACAAAAATAACAAGCAAGAGCTGAAGACATAATCACAGGGATAAATGACAATATATTTTTCCCATCAAATGAGCTTTAGTTAGGCCTAAAACTTGTAGTCATTTATTGTGAGGAACCCAAGGCACGTACCTTCAGAAGTACAAAGTTGTACATCCTGTATTTCCAAAGAAAAGGCATAGAAAAACACCAAGACCAAAAGTCAGGACTGCGGTGATGGCTCAGCTGGTAAAGCACTTGTGCAACCATGGGGTTCTGAATTCCACCCAGGAACCCAGGTTAAAAATTCAAGCATAGTGATGTGAGTTTGGAATTCCAGTATGCACATATGCATATCCCTAAACTTCACTGGCTAAACCAGCCTAACCAAATTTGGGAGCCTCAGGCCAGTGAGAGAACCTGTCTCTCTCATACATACTCAAAATCAAGGTAGGTGTCATTTGAGGAACAGCAACCATCATTGCTCTCTTGCATCCACAAAAACGTGGACCCACACATGAACAAACACACCCACTATATGCACAAATACTAATAGAAAGCAATACTACTAGGTTTATTGTTTGTTTCTAAATGATTGGGCAACTGACCAGTTTACTTTGACTTTCTTTTTATGTCAAGCAGTTCTTTGCTACTTTTTGATTATGGCTTGGAAAACTATCATCATTTTACTATTATTGTTAATGAAGAATCAAAGTAATCACTCTGGAAGGAGTAGATCTAATTTTAAGGAGAAGGGAAGTATGTGCAGAGAACTCACAAAACAGGCAATCAATGGCCAGTAGGCTTATTAACAATCAACCTTATCAGTCATGAGTAGTTTGGTAGATTTTAGTTTAACAATTAATATAGCCAAGAAAAAGATCAACAAAAAGTGATAAAACATACATGAGAGAAATAATTCTCGGTATTATCAATGTTTCAGAACAAAAATTTTTCTTTTAAAAATTGATTTATAAGTTGAAAACATTTATTAAAATGAGATACCAAGTTGATTTCTAGAAAACTAACACCACACAAGTTTTATGAATAAGTATGTAACATTTATTATACCACCTATATCATGAATATTATTAATGTTGAATAGTACAAACCTATTAGCCACATAATTGTGCATATATGCAATGGAATAGATTAGAGTTATTAGACT